TTCTTCAACCTGAGGCTGTTTTAATTAGGGCCTTAGATCTTTGAGAGCTGTGATACAGTGATCACTTTCCTTAAAGCAGTCAAACTCTAGCACAAATGAAATTCAGTTATGTTTTATCACGATTAAGCTGGAAAATGGGAGCGATGGGTGTAAGGTTGACAAGGTGGTTCAGTCTGTGATTGAGTCTTCTTGGTTGGTCAAGTTACTCCTTTGCCATTTCTCATGGAAAATACTTAAGGCCAAGGAATGGGCAATATTTGGGGTCTTGGCACACAGATGCCCTTAAGCAGGCTTTTACCTAAAATGCATTGCAGACTAAACCTATGATGTCAAGCACGAGGCATTAATTCTAGGTTTGGCATCTTCCCTTGCTTCCCACCAACACATGCCTCATTGGGCCATGCTCCTCCCATCCCCAGCAATGTATAATGGCGGTACACCAGGTGCTTTGACAATTCAGGCAACAGAAAACCTTAATGGTTTACAAACTCACTCTGGGTATACCCAGCTGTCCTCTAGGAGTGTAGATAACTTCATGGGGCAATAGTTGTGACCAAAATGGCAATCTGAGGCCAGGTGTGGTGGCTCAAGTGTGGATGGATTACACCTGTAATCCTAGCACTCGTGGGAGGATGAGGCAAGTGGATTTCCTGAGCTCATTTTCCTGGGTTTGACAACAGCTTGAGACCTCATCTCTTAAAAAATAGACAGGTATTGCGGCGGGTGCCTATAGTCCAGGCTACTAAGGAGGCTGAGACAAGAGGATAGCTTGAACCTAAGAGGATGTTGCCGTGAGCTATGACACCAGAGCACTCGGAAGGTGACAAAGTAAGACTGTCTTGAAAAAGTCAATTTAAATTTTGTTCAACAGTTGGTCCCTTGCTTCTCAACTGCAAATGGATCGCTGTCAATGTTGCAGGGTTGCATAAATATTCACAACCTCCAGAAATGGTGGTGATTAAAATCTTAAAGCTCATATTTCAAAAAAGGCTTCACACACAATTTTAAAAAGGTCTTCCGCTAGCAGTCCTGACATGTTCTTTGTCTTTGCTACATGAAAGCAGGGATCTCAGAAGATACTGTGTCCAGTGGCTGCCAGTGACAGTCCATCAGTGCATCATACAGCTCCTCACTCTGCTCCATGAACTCCTTGTTGGCCTCAGTCACATCCAGCTGTGGCATGGGATCTGGAGAAAAAGCAAGGATGAAGGCTATGGGGATAGCTGCAAAGCACTTGATTCTGTTCCCATTATCCTAAGGCTCTGTTCTAGAGTAAGGTCCCTATTCTTTCTGCCAGTTTCTTCTCTTAGGGGCTGATTCCAATGTCCCTGAAAGTAGGATAATGTCTTTAGAAAATACAATAATGGTGGCTGTTATTACAAATATCATTGAAAGCTGCACCTAATGTCTCTAGCTATGAGGTACCCTAGATTTTATGGTCTAGTCCTCATTTCAAATTTCGTTTGGTAAGTCTGATCAAAGTTACCGAGTCCAAAGCACCAGCTCAAAATCTGACAAAAGCTGGCTCAGGGCCTGTAGCTTAGTAGCTAGGACACTAGCCACATAGACCAGGGCTGCCAAACAACAAAATAGCAGGGCATTGTGGCGGGCACCTGTAGTCACAGCTTCTTGGGAGGCGGAGGCAAGAGAATCGCTTAAGCCCAAGAGTTTGAGATTGCTGTAAGCTGTGATGTCACAGCACTCTATCAAGGGTGATGTAATGAGACTCCCTCAAAAAAAAAAAAAAGAAATCAATGTCTGTGGGAGGCCTAGGCGGGTAGCTTGCCTGACCTCACAAGTTCAAGACCAGCCTAAGCCAGAGTAAGACCCACTCCCATCTCTAAAAATAGCCCTGTGTTGTAGGCACCTATAGTCCCAGTTCCTTGGGAGACTGAAGCAAGAGAATCACTGAAGTCCAAGAGTTTGAGATTGCTATGAGCTGTGATGCCAGAGTGCTCTACCAAGGGCAACATAGGGAGACTATGTCTCAAAAAAAAAAAGAAATCAACATTTGCTTTTATAACTGTTTAAATTTACTTTCTGAGCACTTCGGGAGGCCACGGTGGGTGGATTTCTTGAGCTCAGGAGTTTGAGACCAGATTAAGCAAGAGCGAGACCTGGTCTCTTACTATAGCCAGGCATTGTGGGGGATGCCTGTAATCCCAGCTGCCAAGGCACTCTACTGAGGGTAACTGAATAAGACTCTGTCTCAAGGGTGGCGCCCATAGTTTAGTGAGTAGGGCACTGACCACATGCACCAGGGCTGGTGGGCTCAAACCCAGCCTGGGCCCTCTAAAACAAAAAGATAGCTGGGCATTGTGGTGGGCGCCTGTAGACCTAGCTACTCCAGAAGATGAGGCAAGAGAACTGCTTGAGCCCGGAAGTTTGAGGTTGCTATGACACCTGGGCACTCTACTGAGGGTGATGAAGTGACTCTGTCTTAAATAAATAAATAAATTTTACTTTCTGTAAACTTAAACTTAGTATCTATTCAGAAACATTTGAAAAATTTACTTTTGTTTTCCATAGTTTCTTAAAACCTTTTGAGAAAATCCTTTCAGAACTAATATCTTTTTTTTTTTTTTTTTTTTTTTTTTTTGAGACAGAGCCTCAAGCTGTCCCCCTGGGTAGAGGGCTGTGGCATCATAGCTCACAGCAACCTCCAACTCCTGGGCTCAAGCGAGTCTCCTGCCTCTGCCTCCGCCTCCCAAGTAGCTGGGACCACAGGCGCCTGCCACAACGCCTGGCTATTTTTTGGTTGCAGCCATCATTGTTGTTTGGCGGGCCGGGCTGGCTTCGAACCTGCCACCTTAGGTGTTTGTAGCTGGAGCCTTAGCCACTTGAGCCATAGGTGCCGAGCCAGAACTAATATCTTGTTTGAAACCATATTTGACCTTTTAGCAATTCCTTCTATTGTACTTTTCCTTTTCTTCTGTTCAATTCAATAAAAATTATAATAAATATATATTTTTTATTTTTATTTTTTTTGAGACAGTTTCACTACGTCACTCTTGGTAGAGTGCCATGGCATCACAGCTCACAGGAGCCTCAAACTCTTGAGCTTTAGGCAATTCTCTTGCCTCAGCCTCCCAAAGGCACCCACCACAACAGCTGGCTACTTTTTGTTGCAGTTGTCATTATTTAGCAGGCTGGGGCTGGGTTTGAACCTGCCAGCCTTGGTGTATGTGGCTGGTGCCCTAACCACTGTGCTACGAGTGCTGAGCTTACAATAAATTTTTTTTTTTTTTAAGACAGAGCCTCAAGCTGGGCTCAAGTGATTCTCTTGCCACTGTCTCCCAAGTAGCTGGGACTATAGGCGCCTGCCACAATGCCCGGCTATTTGTTGGTTGCAGCCGTCACTGTTGTTTGTCATTGTTTATTTAGCAGGCTGGGGCTGGATTCGAACCTGCCAGCTTGGTGTATGTGGCTGGCACCTTAGCCACTTGAGCCACAGGGGCCAAACCTACAATAAATATATATATATATATATTTGGCCGGGGCTGGGTTTGAACCTGCCACCTCTGGCATATGGAGCCAGCCCCCAATTCCTTTGAGCCACAGGTGCTGCCCAATATTTTTAATAAAAAATTAATACTGGGCCGGGTGCAGTGGCTTACACCAAAAATCCTAGGACTCTGGGAGGCAGAGCCTCAGCTCATGAGTTCGAGACCAGACTGAGCAAAAGCAATACCCCGTCTCTACTAAAAATAGAAAAACTGAAGGCAAGAGGATTGCTTGAGCCCAAGAGTTGGAGGTTGCTGTGAGCTATGATGCCACGGCACTCAACCCAGGGAAAGAGTGAGATCTGTCTCAAAAAGAAAAAACAATCAATAGTGGTTATTATCACATTGCAGGATTAGGGGTTACGTTCAATTTCATAATAGTTTATTTTCCAAATAAAATGAGTTTTATAAATCATCAAACAAATGCCACAAGCCTAGGCAGTGCTGGGCTTCCTCCCCTGTAGCTGCTTGTTCTGGGCTCCATCTGCACTAACAACGCTGAGTCTGCTCTCCCACTAAGAACATAAGTTCTTCTGGAGAAGAATTTACCTGGCTGTCTCTAAGCATTTAGTTGAAAACAGTGCCAGCCATAAGACAGTCACATGATAGTGGCTGACGGAGGAATGAATAAACAAACTTTCTTACCTTCTAATGCATCATCCCCAACTTCTTCATATGTCTGCCAAGAGACCAGAGAGGTGAGTGAGTAGCATGGTGAAACCATGGTCCACGCCCATAATGGCTTATTTTTAACCAGAGGAACTAGGTTGCTTCAGCTTTCCCCATTTTTTTCTGAAGCCCCATTTTTTCCTTTTCTTACCAATCCCATCCAGGAGAATGACCCATTTCTAGTGGAGAAACATAACCCAAGAGGGCAGACTTGCCAAACCACTGTTACCTGCATGGTGCTCTGAGTATAGCCATACTGAGGGTAACTGTAGCTGTAGCTGCCTGTGTTCTGGTCATAACCCCACTGGGCATAGTAGTTCTGGTATTGCTGGTAATACTGGTTGTAGCTGTAACTATACATCTGACTATACTCCACTGGCTTTACACGGCTCCTTAAATAAACAAAAATAAACAAATATAAAAATATTTCCACAACACTGCCTTTGTAACCAGAGACTATTCTAAGTGGTTTATGCAGATTAACTCATTAATCCTCACAGCATCCCTATGTAGTAAGTATACCATTATTCTTATTTTACAGATGAGTAAACTGAGGTACAGAGAGAGGTTAAGTAATTTGTCCAAAACTGTACAGCTATTTTAGTAAGAGATTCAAATTCAGGCAGTCTGGCTCCACAGTCCATGCTTTTAAGAGAAGAGGTTTTAATGGTTAGGTTTGTCTCCCCTATGAAACTT